TCCCACAGAAGTATAAGGCTCTAGTAGATACCGGTGCACAGTGTACCCTGATGCCATCAAGCTGTCAAGGGGTGGAATCCATCTATATTTCTGGAGTAACAGGAGGATCCCAAGAGTTGACGGTGCTGGAGGCTGAAATCAGCCTGACTGGGAGGGAGTGGCAAAAGCACCCTATTGTGACTGGTCCAGAGGCTCCATGCATCCTCGGCATAGACTACCTCAAGAGAGGGTACTTCAAAGACCCAAAAGGGTACGGTGGGCTTTTGGTATTGCTGCTTTGGAGACTGAGGAAATTGAGCAGCTGTCCACCTTGCCTGGTCTCTCAGAAGATCCCTCTGCTGTAGGGTTGCTGAAAGTTGAAGAACAACAAGTGCCAATTGCCACCACAACAGTGCACCGGCGGCAATATCGCACCAACCGAGACTCCCTGATTCCCATCCATCAGCTGATCCATAGACTGGAGAGTCAGGGGGTGATCAGCAGGACCCGCTCACCCTTTAATAGCCCCATATGGCCAGTGCGAAAGTCTAATGGAGAATGGAGACTAACAGTAGACTATCGTGGCCTGAATGAAGTCACACCACCATTGAGTGCTGCCGTACCGGACATGCTAGAACTTCAGTATGAACTAGAGTCAAAGGCAGCCAAGTGGTATGCCACGATTGATATTGCCAATGCATTTTTCTCAATTCCTTTGGCAGCAGAGTGCAGGCCACAGTTTGCTTTTACTTGGAGAGGTGTCCAGTTCACTTGGAACCGACTGCCCCAGGGGTGGAAACACAGCCCTACCATTTGCCACGGACTGATCCAGACTGCACTGGAACAGGGGCAAGCTCCAGAACACCTGCAATACATTGATGACATTATTGTGTGGGGCGATACAGCAGAAGAAGTCTTTGAGAAAGGGAGGAAAATAATCCAAATCCTGCTGAAAGCCGGTTTTGCCATAAAACGGAGTAAGGTCAAGGGACCTGCACAGGAGATTCAATTTTTGGGAATAAAATGGCAAGATGGACGTAGACAGATCCCCACAGATGTGATCAACAAGATAACAGCAATGTCTACACCAACTAATAAGAAAGAAACGCAAGCTTTCTTGGGTGCAGTGGGGTTCTGGAGAATGCACATCCCGAATTACAGTTTGATTGTAAGCCCTCTCTATCATGTGACCCGGAAGAAAAATGATTTTAAATGGGGCCCTGAGCAGCAACAAGCCTTTGAGCAAATTAAACGCGAGATAGTTCACGCAGTAGCCCTTGGACCAGTCCGGACCGGACCAGATGTAAAAAATGTACTGTACACTGCAGCTGGGGAGAACGGTCCTACCTGGAGCCTCTGGCAGAAAGCTCCAGGGGAGACTCGAGGTCGACCCCTCGGCTTTTGGAGTCGGGGATATAAAGGATCTGAGGCAAGCTATACCCCAACTGAGAAAGAGATACTGGCAGCCTATGAAGGGGTTTGAGCTGCTTCGGAAGTGATTGGCACTGAAGCACAGCTCCTTCTGGCACCCCGGTTGCCCGTGCAGGGCTGGATGTTCAAAGGCAGGGTCTCCTCTACACATCATGCAACTGATGCTACATGGAGTAAATGGGCTGCACTAATTACACAACGAACTCGAATAGGAAATCCCAGTCGTCCAGGCATTCTAGAAGTCATCATGGACTGGACAGAGGGCAAAGATTTTGGAATGTCACCAGAGGAGGAGGTGGTGCGCGCTGAAGAGGCCCCACCATATAATAAACTGTCAGAAAGTGAAAAGCAGTATGCCTTGTTTACTGATGGCTCTTGCCGTATTGTGGGAAAGCATCGGGGATGGAAGGCAGCTGTATGGAGTCCCCAACAGCAAGTTGCAGAAACTGCTGAAGGAGAGGGTGAATCGAGTCAGTTTGCCGAGGTGAAAGCCATCCAGCTGGCCCTGGACATTGCTGAACGAGAAAAGTGGCCAGTACTTTATCTCTATACTGACTCATGGATGGTGGGAAATGCCCTGTGGGGGTGGTTGAAGCAATGGAAGCAGAGCAACTGGCAACGCAGAGGTAAACCCATCTGGGCTGCTGCACTGTGGAAAGATATTGCTGCCAGGGTGCAGAACCTGGTGGTGAAGGTACGTCATGTAGATGCCCATGTACCCAAAAGTCGGGCCACTGAGGAACACCAGAACAACCAACAAGTGGATAAAGCGGCTAAGATTGAAGTGGCTCAGATGGACTTAGATTGGCAACATAAAGGTGAATTATTTTTGGCCCGGTGGGCCCATGACACTTCAGGCCATCAGGGCAGAGATGCAACATAGAGGTGGGCCCGTGATCGAGGGGTGGACTTAACAATGGACACTATTGCCCAGGTTATTCATGAGTGTGAAACATGTGCTGCAATTAAACAAGCCAAGCGGTTAAAGCCTCTTTGGTATGGAGGACGATGGTTGAAGTATAAATATGGGGAGGCCTGGCAGATTGACTATATCACACTGCCACCAACCCGCCAAGGCAAGCGCCATGTGCTTACCATGGTGGAAGCAACCACCGGGTGGCTGGAAACATACGCTGTGCCCCATGCCACTGCCCGGAACACCATCCTGGGCCTTGAGAAACAGATTTTGTGGCGACACGGCACCCCAGAGAGAATTGAGTCAGACAATGGGACTCATTTCCAAAATAACCTTATAGATATTTGGGCCAAAGAGCATGGCATTGAGTGGGTATATCACATCCCCTACCATGCACCAGCCTCTGGGAAAATCGAACGGTACAATGGGCTGTTAAAAACTACACTGAGAGCAATGGGTGGGGGAACTTTCAAGCATTGGGATACACACTTACCAAAGGCCACCTGGTTGGTCAACACCAGAGGATCTGCCAACAGGGCTGGCCCAGCCCAGTCAGAACTTTTACATATTGTAGAGGGGGACAATGTTCCCGTGGTGCATATGAAGAATTTGCTGGGGAAGACAGTCTGGGTAATTCCTGCTTCAGGTAAAGGCAAACCCACTCGTGGGATTGCTTTTGCTCAGGGACCTGGATATACTTGGTGGGTAATGCAGGAAGATGGGGAAGTCCGATGTATACCTCAAGGGGATTTGATTTTAGGGGAAAACAGCCAGTGAACTCAATTGTATGACGTTGCCTACTGTGTAATGGTTTTATAGCCCATCAACTAGATGTCTCCAGGTCACCAGCGACTGGCCCTGACTTCCCTCCAGCCATCATCCCAACAGAGAATGAACTTTGAACATCATGGACCGAATGGACTCGGCAGCATTATAGGGATTGGTCCATGCACTAAGAAAATGATCTTTTCCTCTTGGTCTGTATGTATATGGATGTATATATATGGGAGAGCGATGGTGTACTGAAAATGTGGGATCTGAGCACGACGTGAATGGTATGGAATAAGGGGTGGATAATGTCCTGGATTCAGCAGTAGCAGTCATGTTTGGTTTTTTTTTCTTTTGTGCTAGCTGGTGCAGTGCTGTGTTTTGACTTCCAGCCTGAGAACAGTGTTGGTGAAGTCGATGTTTTCGGTTGTTGCTAAGTGATGTTTACCCTGACCAAGGACTTTGTGAGGCTCATGCTCTGCCAGAAAGGAGGGGAAGCCGGGAGGAAGCAGAGATGGGGCCCCTGACTCGGGCTAGCCAGGGAGGTATTCCATACCACAGCACGTCATGGCCGGGGTGGGGGGTGACTGGGAGTTACCCGGAAGGACACGGGGCTTCCGGGTGGAACTCGTTTTCTTGGCCGGTGGTATCGTATTCTCTTCCCTTGTTATTTTCCCTTATCATTGTTGTAGTTGATAGTTGCGGTGGTGATTTGTGTACATTGGTTGCTGGACTGTTCTTGTCTCAACCCGTGGGAGTTGCACTCTTTCGATCCTCCTCCCCGTTCCTCCAGGAGTGGGGGAGAACCCCGGTGGGGGGGGGGGACGACACGGACCTCGATTGTTGTCAGCTCGGCACCGCTCACTGGGAGTGAGTGAACAAGTTACCTGACTGGGTTTAAACCACGACAGTGACCATGAGAGAGAATACACCTACAGCTACTGTGGGAGTCAGAACGTAGTAACCTAAGGTAAATGCAGGCAAGTATCCAACCTGGTATAGTTTATACTTAATACTTGTAAATTTTTTCCTAGTAAGTCAGATGTAGTCACCTGGAACAACCAGACCCAGCTAATAGGACTGTGGGTTATTCTAAAGAACCATAATGACTTAACACCTCACCTTTCACAGCATTAGAAGTACCAGGGCAAAAAAGGGCAATATCCTGCATTAAGTACACCAGAGCCATTTCTCCCAAGTGCAGCATCACAAAACAGGAAGGAGGCCTCTGGCTCACTCAAGGCTTTGTATTACCCTTACTTATAACACACCAGTGCCTCAAAGACCTAGACTTTGCACAAGCCCTCAGCATATTTATGCCTGGGCCAACAGCCACCTGAGGATACTTGGCCTAGATTCTCTACAAAAAATCCATTGCAGCACTGCTGGGACCATATGAAGACTCCAAGCCATCCCATTATTCTGCCACTCTCCAGTCTACACAGGTACCCTGTAAATTACTGAATTTAGAAAACAGTGTTCTTTTCAGCTCCCACTTTCCAGCCTCACAAGTCACCTCCAAGAGCTTTTGGCCTGGTCCCCTTCCTTTGCAGGTCTGAAGGCAGAGCACTTCTGCATTCTTGTGTTCTGTTCCCATCCCAGAAAACTCACCTCATTTCCTTAACTGAATCTTGTCACACTACCAGCCTACCAACTTCAAAGCGCAGCTCCAACCCCTGGTCAAAAGACTGCTTCAGGAGTTAAGTCTGGACTCATCTGTTCCCTGAAGACAAAGAAGGCTAGCTAGAGAACGGGACTAGGAACTTCCTCGGTCAAGCAACATGAAGCTTTAGCTTCACTGCCAACGGTTTCCATCCCATGCAGTCCCACACCAACACAATGGCCTTCCAACACATCAAGCTATCAGGTACAGACACTTCCCAGGCAGCAGCCACAGGGCTAAGCATCACAGAGTCTTCCACAGAAAAAGGGAACACTCAAAGCAAAGGTACTTAACCGGTCCCTTTGGAGGCAGGCAGGAGAAGGGCAGATCTGGTGTTGGCACGGGCATAGGCATCATCACTGGCACGGATACTAATCCATCATGATCAACCAGTGGGGCTGTAAATCCACCACCACCTCCCCCTCCATGGCCACCCTTCTTCACATCGTCTGTAAATCCCACATCAATCAGATCTGCCTCTTCACCTGCAGTGGCTTCAGCCTGGAAAGGCTAGAAGACTTCTGCTCACCAAGACATCTATTCTGATCCCAGCTCTCTGAACAGCATTAGATGCAGCTTGAACAAGATGAAACAACACAGTGAGGACAGAACAGACAGTAGCTACACAGTGATATTAATAGGAACCAGACTACAATATGGCTGATTACAGCCACATGCTGTAGGGCTGTGGGAAGGAGCAGGGATCACGTATGCTAGGTCTACCTAGAATATACCAAAGCACTACCAAGTTTGCTGCAATGCCACAGCCCTGTGCTCTGAAAACCCACACAGAACTAATGGAATATTTCAGCCACTGAAACACAGAAAGGAGCTCCAGACCTGCAGTTGCCTCACTCACCATCACCACAGAGCCAGCTTCATAGGGCACATTGTAGTTCTTGGCAATCTTAATGAGGTATCTCTCCACCAGAATCTTGTGTGGTACCTCCAAGTTCAGCTTGTGCATCAGCTGGAACACAAGGTACAGAGACACTCAAGGGACTGGGGCAGTGCAGCAGAGCTCCATCCCAGCCAGGGTCACCTGCTGCAGGGAGCACAGTGCAGCCCTGGGGAGGCCCTTCCTCCCAGTCCAGCACTGCTGCAGAGGAGGCTGCTGGTAACCACAGGCTAGGGCTCCATGTGCACTGCTCCTCTCCATCCACAGCCAGCACAATAGGGCCCCACCTGTCAGGGACCTCAGCACTGTGCTCCAGGGCAGGCAGAACCCCATGCAGCTGGCCCACCCTATCTTGCATGACCCATAGGCATCAGCCACTAGTGACAGGAAAAAGGGGCAGAAAGCCACAGCAGGCATGTCTGTTCTGCCAGTTCCAGCTGGCTGCTGTTGTTCCATCAGTTCATTACTCTGTCATTGACTGTCCCAATCTGGTTTGCTCGGCACAGCTTCCCATACTCCTTGCTGTACTTGGCACACAGCTGGTCAGCAACCTGCAATAGGAGAGAAACTGGGAACGTGCACACCTTTGCTTTTCCCACCACCATACACTGCACATCTGCTGGATCACTCTCATTTCTGCCACCGAGTACACCAGCTGAGCAGTCTTAGCCATCCCTGATGCTCCAGGGACACCTATACTGAGGTCTTCATCTGCAAAGCCCATAAAAACGTCCTCTGCCTCAATGACAGAGACACAGACAAAGACTTCCACCAGCTTCTTGCAGCATCACACCCACCCTGCACATGTAACACCCCTCAAACAACCCTAATTCACAATCTTCAACTCAAGCCACTTCCAACTGGAGTCGTGGTGCAGCCCAAATCAGTGCAGATACTGCTTCTGCCAGGCCAGAGTGCAGCTCCCTAGGGATAACAGAAGACAATCCTATCTCCACATCAAGCATTTAGTCTTTGCTGCCCAATCTGCTTAGCCTGAAGGTCCCATCCTCCTTGCTGGGCTCCGGAACCTTCCCTGCCTGGGGAAGAAAAAGACTCTGGAGTCCCTAGAACACCCAAACACAGGTCCCCTTCTGTGCCCCAAGCTTGCCCCTAACAGCATTCCTCCCTGAGTCCAGGGGCCTGGATCCTCTCCCACAGCACACTCTCCAGAGCTTCATGGACTGAATCAAACCGAAGCAGGCTAGCAGCAGGTCACAGTACAGTTCCAGGATCTCCATGGCCTCCACAAAGTAATCTTCATGGATGACGTGCTCACACAAATCCTGGCACTCTCATCTTTTCCATCTGACAGATAATCTGCAATTTCCCTCCTTGCCTTCTGGGCCAGCTCAGCTACAGCACATATCCCCAACATCCATCGTTGTGCTGGCAAGGGCTGCTGCCTCCATACCCATCCACAGTCCCCACAAGCTTTTCTTTCTCTCCTTTATCAAACCTCTGGAACACAAGACACTCAACCATAGCTTGGTTGAGTCCTTGTGTCTAGGTCCTAGCACACTAACACAGAAGAAAGGAGAGTGGGCTTTTAGTTGCAAGAAACCCTCGGCACTCCCCTACACTTTCAATTTCACTGCGGAGTCAGTCAGAACCACAGATCTTAGCTGTGTCTGAGCAAGGCAGGTGGGGAGAGCCTCCCCACTATGCTATGATCACAGAAGGCCCAGAAAAGCCCCCCTAGGCAAACTAGCATGTCCCTCCACACACAGCCCACAGCTACCACCCCATAAATTGCATTCCAAGGAAGGTGGACAGAGGCCACACTGTGGTCAGCCTGCTCCTCCAGGTAGCACACCAGGGCAGACTGCAAGGCCTGGGTCCAGCAAGGAAAAGCAAAATGCTGCTCCACACTTGGCCCATGAAAGCACATTTGATTACAGTGAAGCACAAAATCAGACTTTGCAACTCAAGGAGAGTTATAAAACAGGTATGTTTATTATGGGCTCAGGTGCAAGGGGCATCACTCCTAACTTGCATACTGAGGGGTTAAGCAAGCGGATATTTATTACACACAAACATGCATATTCATTAGGTTCCCAAGAGAGCAGCAGGGCTATTGCTATTAGCTTAGGAACTCATTATCATAAGCCTCCTCCCTTTTGGCACTTGCACACTGCCCTCCGATGGTCCTGGGCAGGGGTCTTCAAGATGAAGTAAGCAGTCTTCCTCATGTAGGCAGGGGTCTTCAGGATGAAGTAAGCAGTTTTCCTCATGGTGTACTTCTCACCTTTGGCACAGTTGGATGCCCCAGTAATCACAAATTAGCTGAAACCAACCGTATCTGTAATTTTCTGATAGCTGGCAAAGATTTAGAACAGTGTGACCTTTGTACAAAATTTATTGCAAGGAAAACAGGATGGGCAGACAAGGAGTATCCTAAGCTAGTAGATGTTCGGGAGTCACTGTCTCCAAACTAACTGATAATTAGAAGGATGGTAAGAAATAATTCATTCATTAGAAGGATGGAAAGAAATAATTCACTCATGTTAGTAAAACTCCTAAATTCTGTTATCACACCACAGGCTTACAACACAAACATTGTTCTCTATCTTAGACCTAAGTTAAAAGTATTTTAACCCTATGTTTTCCAGGCACTTGCTTTCCTTATATCAACAGCATTTTGTTATGCCAAGAATAGTTTGTCAAAAAATGCTTAAGAGCTATCACAACAAAAGACCTTAACTTGTATCTGAAGAACAGACTGGATCAGACTTCTGGATAGTGATAGCATTTTGTGCATAACAAGCACTTTACACTGTAACAAATCTTATCTAGAGTTCATTCAGTTAATTTAACTGATCTATTCACACACCAGTACAACAATTTCAGTGATGCACAGAACAAAGCAAGCTCAAAAAAACACTACTGCAGAAATATATATGCGTGATGCAAGTCTGATGCCATAAAAAAAAAAGTTCTGCACTTCTGTAATCGGAACATACTCTTACAACATTAAAAGAACTTTATAGTGCAGCATGAAGCAGTCTCAGCACAAGTTGCAATATCTCTGTAAAAGTACGTAGCAAATAAGTATTCTGATTAACATCCTGTTTTAACAGATTAATTCAAAATGCAGCCATTAAGTAGCCAGCTCACTAGCCATTCTTTTGCAACCATCCTACTGCCATTCTAAAAAGTTCTGTTACCCCCACTGCCCTGCACGAGGCTCCCAGCCATGCTGCTGCAGAAGGACTGACTCAATCCCTTCTTATAGACGGGCTACTACTGTGACCAAGCCGAAATTAATCTCTACTCGTACCGCAACGAGTCTCTCACCAAGGGACGGAGGGAGGGACGGAGGGAGGGACGGAGGGAGGGACGGAGGGAGGGACGGAGGGAGGGAGGGACGGAGGGAGGGACGGAGGGAGGGACGGAGGGAGGGACGGAGGGAGGGACGGAGGGAGGGACGGAGGGAGGGACGGAGGGAGGGACGGAGGGAGGGACGGAGGGAGGGACGGAGGGAGGGTCTTGGTGCGGCGCAGCCCCGAAAGTAGGCTGGCCTGGGGCGGTCTCCAGGTGGTGCCAGCAGTCTCCTGCGGAGAGGAAGTACCCCAGAGAAGGCCCCACGCCGTAGGGTGGGGCGGTTCGGTTTCAGCAGGTGCATGAGTTCACAACGCGATGGCTTTTAAGTTAAACGTAAATCCCTGATTCTTGACCTTGCAGGGCACGCGAGACTGCGGTAGTTCGGGGTAGCCGCGTCCCGCCCTGAGTGTGAGGAGAAGCAGTAGCTAACGACAGGGCTTGGGGCGTGCGAGATTTGTAACCGGCGCGAATGATCCCCAGTGAGCGGCCAGGGGCTGTGGGCTGGGACGGATCCATGAACAGCAGGTAAGATGCTTCGGGGAATGAAACACGGCACCGGAGTGTGGGTGAGGTCTCTGACCGCCGGCACAGTGCTACACATACCGGGCTCGGCTCCCCGCGCCAGGGCCAGGCTGTGCCGTGGCTCCCCGCGCCGTGTGCTCTCGCGTCACCGCCATCTTGGCCGGCTGTCTGTCTGTCGACCCTTTGTCTGCAGCTCTCGGCGCCTGCAGCGGGACTGGGTAAGGCGGGTCGGGTCCCGCTGTCCACCCGAGGATTAGTTCCTCGGTCTGTGGGGCTAGTCCGGCCCAGCCCAGTCCGTCTGTCAGGGCTGTCGGGATGGCCCCGCGGTCATTTGTCGGCATCCTTGGGCTGGGCTCTTCTGTTCGTCCTTCTGCCACGTGAGCGGCGTCCGTGTATCCGTTCGCCTGTGGGCTGGATCCCTCCTGTCGCCTCCCGGGTGCTGTTTTGCCAGCTGGATCCTTCTGTTGGCAGGAAGCTGATGTCTGTCTAGGGGGAAGTGGGTTCAGTCCCTCCTTTTGTCTCTTTATCTGAGGGGGTTGCTGGGATTTATCCCTTCTTTTGTCAGTCTGAGGATGAGGACTTGATGTCTGCCTCTTTGTAAGGTTTGAGAGGATCTGTTGTCCCCACCTGTGGGGGATAGGGGCAGTGCATCCCCGATGTGAGCTGTGGTGTTGGTGGTCCCTCCCTAGGTGAGGGCACAGGGTGTGTACCTAATTGCCTGTCCTCAGCCCTGCCTGCCTAGGGAGGGTGTAGCAGTCTCTTGTTCCTGCCCTCCTTGTGCCTCTCTGCAGGGGTGGTGAGGTCAGGCCCTCTGAGGGCCAGCTGTTTTAGATGGGACCTTTGCCTGGGCTGGCCACTCCATCCTGTCAGCTGCTGCTGCTGCTGTGTATGAAGCTGTGACTGCAGGACAGCTGGCTCCCTTGTTTGCTTTCCGGGCACGGTGGGGGTTGTTTCCCCTCAGTCTCTCTCTGGGTGGGGAGCCAGAGGTAGGGCAGGGTCTGCAGGTTTGATCTGGCTCCTGCCCTGTTGGCTGTGGGGATGGACAGGAAGGGAGAAGGGTGTTTGGACTAAGATTGCAGTTGCTCTTGAGGTGGGATACTCTTAGCTTTTTGTATGCTGGGGACAAGGTTGCTTTTAACTTTGCTTGAAACCTGAGTGGGACTGCCCATATATGGTGGTTTGTGAAATGCATGTGGATTGTGTTGGGTGCTGGCACTGAATATAGCTGTGGTGATGCAGAACGAGCCCTGTAGGCAGAAGGGTGGGGAATGACCCTGAGACAGCCAGCTGTGTTTGGCCAGAGGCTCAGAAGGTTCTAGTGATGTGTGTGACAGGCTCTTCTCTTCTCAGGTGACCCCTCTGCTGAAGGAAGGAACACTCTGTGCTCCCAGGTCAGGGAAACATGTCCCGTCGGAAACAGACCACTCCTAACAAAGTTCACTGTGAGTATTATGTTATGCAGCATTGTGGGATCCTTGCCCCAGATGGATTGTTGTGGAGTGAGACAGGAGGGAGGGGAATGATGACAGCGTACAGTTTGTAGGGGGATGGTGGTTACTCATGTTTTGTCACAGGGACTATAAGATGAGAAACTAATCTTTGCTCATCAGGGGAGCTGGCTGTGTCCTGGCATGGCAGAGATAGACTTGAAAAATGACTAATGCTGTAAAGGTAGGTAGGTATGTATGTGCAGGGCCTCTAGCTGTGCTTTGCATTCACACTGTCACAAGTGCAAATTAGTATACTAAGAAATGTGACTTCAGGGCTCTGGCCTGTTTTGGCTAGCAAGGAAAGTTCTAGGCCAACTCACCGTTGGCCGGAAGCCCCAGTGCGGCCAGGTGTGAAGGTCTTGGAACAGCTTCATACCTTTGTTTTCCTGCCTCTTTCTGGCAAGCAGTCGTGATGAACACAAACATATATACTCTGCTGAATACACTGTGGCAAACAACATCCTTTATGGCTCTCAGTGATGAGAGGGAATCGACTCCCAGCTAGGTTCTCATCCATTACAATGCTATCTGTCAGATCGTACTTGACCTGAGCTGATGGGACCGATCTCTGTTTCTACAGCACTGCCAAGATCCTGGTGTTTGTTTGGCAGTGAATCATAGAATAGTTAGGGTTGGAAAGGACCTTAAGATCATCTAGTTCCAACCCCCCTGCCATGGGCAGGAACACCTCATACTAAACCATCTCACCCAAGGCTTCGTCCAACCTGGCCTTGAACACTGCCAGGGATGGAGCATTCACAACCTCCCTGGGCAACACATTCCAGTTGTACCAGCCTAATGGGAAAGAATTTCCTCCTTATACCCAGTCTAAACTTACCCCCATTTAAGTTTTAACCCATTACCCCTTCTCCTGTCACAACAGTCCCTAATGAAGAGTCCCTCCCCAGCATTCCTATAGGCCCCCTTCAGATACTGGAAGGCTACTATGAGGTCTTCTGTAGATCTGTGAAAGGAAGGCTGATGACAGGGCCCTAGGTATTGCTAAGCTGTAGTAGCTGTCAGGAGTATGGTACATAGAGCT